TTTTTTCAAATTCATGTGCTTCTTGGTCATAATATCATAAGCAACAATTGATACAGTTTTGACATGAATCGCATGGTCAGAATGACAATTATGAGGCGGGTGCACTGAGTGCACCCGAAAAAGTGGGTGCACATAATACGCCACCATATATATATAGTAGTTTAATCTTATTTAACTTTTATCCCACTTTGTACGTCACGGTTGTTTGTATCTTTATCTTGTAATTATTTTGTATGTAAATAAGAGATTCTCTAATCACAGTACCACTTGATACTGAGATCGAGAAGACACTTCGAGGCCTAAGAAGAACGTGGAGATTCCAACCACAACAGATGGTGGAACAAGCACCACCTCAACCTCAAACACAACAACCACTGCGGGCGAGGACAATGATATCCATTTCAAGAGCAAGTGTGGAGAATGTTGAATCTCCAATTTGGCACCGACTATCCCCAACAACAACTACGAAATCAAACCAGGGACCATAACCATTGATTGGGGTCCAATTGAACACATTTTACCCCTCATATCTTGATAGTTTGGCTTTGCATTTCATCGTCCCTCGACATATTTCACGTTAGGTTGTGCTTTTTTGATGCAATTCAGGTCTTAGCACTTGTGGGAAGGTCAAGGACGAGTTTTAGGTCGATTGGAGGTCGAAAAGTGCCAAAAAGTGAAAAAACCATTATAGTTGCCCCGTAACCGTGAACATCGAGGCATCTGGGGAGAAATCTGTCGTTACTGGCGCAAGGTGAGTTCACGATCTCTAAGACCGTGAACTTGGATCACAAACCGTGAATCCATGAGAGTGTAGCGGTGCGTTTTGGAGACGACAATGAGTTTACGGACGCGTTTAGGTGTTCACGGCCGTGAACTGGCCAACGCGGCCGTGAACTGGTCACTTTCGGGCAAATATGAAGACAACAGCGGGGAGATAGAAAGGAGAGCTGGTTTTTGGAGAAGGCACACTTTCTTTCTCTAAGGTTTCACCCTAAAACACCAAAGGGGAGTTCTAGTGAGAGAGTGAGTGATCTTGAAGGTTAATTGAAGGCATTGATCAAGCTTGGAAGCTAGGAATCAAGCCTAGAAGAAGATGAAGATCTAGAGGTTTCTTTGTGATCTCTCCTCTCTATCTAGAAACTCACCCTCTTCTCTTGGGATTAAGGACTCTAGGTATAGATTTTTGTTTGTTGTTGTTGATGTATGTGACAACTTACTAGTTTGATTGATGATTTTATCTAATTGATGGATGTTTTAATGGATGGCATGAGTTTTGATTGCATTTTCATGTCTTGAGCTTTTGACCTAGGAAAGGGAAAATCCCCTTAGAGCCATTATTGGCGTCTTTGGGTCACTCCTATCGTATATTGTCCGGTTAGTCCCCGGCGGAGTTGATTCCATTTGTCTCCTTGCAATATATGAAACCCTAGGTTGAATAGAGCACATACCCATCCATTGGTTCGCCTTTCCGGGTCATTCCCGAGGGAGTCCATCTCCAAACGTTAGTGTATATGAGTCGATCGATCTAGGAGGATACTCAACATCGATCCAAAGGTCGGAAATAGGGGGATTCAACCCAAGAGAGCTCCCAACCTTGTAAATAGCTAGGTTAGTGGTTAGTCTAGGTTAGTTAGCTTGGTTTTTCTAATCACTACCTTAGGTTGGCTAGATAACGAACCCTAAACCTAAGGTAGGGTAAGCCTAGATCCCCGTGGTACGATAAATTCATATTGCTTCTTGCCCTATGATACACTCGATCGTCGGTTATACTTGGTCGTCGATCGGGATGTTGTAGTTAGAACGAGTCAACCATGCTTCAGAATGCAGTCCAGTTTCACGGGTTGGCGAATGAAGACGCACACGCCCACATCAAGGCATTTTACGAGCTTATGGATGCTACCAAAGTTAATGGAGTTCCCCAAGAGGCGATTCATTTGAGACTCTTCCCCTTTAACTTGAGTGGAGGGGTGAAGCAATGGTTAAATAATCAACTTTATCATTCTATTATCTCTTGGGTGGAATTATGCGACAAGTTCTTCGCAAGATACATCTCACCTTCAAAGACGACATTGATGAGATGTGAAATACAAATGTTTAGACAAGAGGAAGACGAGCCACTATTCGAAACTTGGGAAAGGTTCACCTATCTTTTTCTCAAGGTCCCACACCACGACATAGCCGATTGGCTTCAAGTGGAAAGCTTCTATAATGGACTAACTCGTGAATTCCAAAATTGAATTGATGTCGCCAATCGGTGAGCTATTCAGAACAAAGAAGTAGGATAATTGCATGGTTAATTGAAGATATGGCGGTTAATAGCTATGATTGGGGTGATGGTAGGCAAGGAAAGAGTGTAAGGAAAGGCAATGTGCTGCAAATTGAAGAACCATCTTCATTATCGGCACATCTTCAAGAATTGACAAAGAAGATTGACTTTGTTGCATCAACCAAGAAGAACAACAGTAAGCAAGTTATAAAGTGCGATTGTTGTGGTGATGTCAATCATAATTTAGAAGAGTGCAAGACAATGGTAGAAGCATCAATCCAACACGAGCAATCTATCTTTATTGTAGGGCAACAAAGAAACAACAATCCATATAGTGCTACCTATAATACGGGATGGGGGAATCATCCTAACTTCTTATGATCTTCACCATCTGATAGGAAATCTCCCAGTTTTCAAGGAAAAGACCCGATGCAAACTCTATTTCAAAGAAATAATCATTCTTTAAGCCAAGGTCCTTTCTCAGATTAAAACTGAAATTCGGATAATTGTGTGATAAAGCTTGAAGATATGGTAGGACAATTTATTGCCACCACCATAAGGAGGTTTGATACAATTGATAGATTTGTGGAGAATGCCGCAAACTAGTTTTCAACCGTGGAGGCTGGTCAAAAAAATCATGAAGCAAAACTTCAAAACCTTGAATCACAATTGATATCTATGGCTCAATCTCTATCAAAAAGACCTCAAGGAGCTTTACCGGATAATATAGAACATAACCCGAAGAAGGATGCCATGAGGTTACTTTTAGGAGTGTTCGGCATTGAAGGAATTTCCGAGATCAACACCCCGAGCATCTATGAGGTAAGTACAAATAAAAGTTATTCAAGAAGAGAGGAGTGTTGAAGAGGAATTGATAGTCCCAACCAAGATTAATGTTGACGAAAACAAAGTCCCAAAGAAGCCTCAAGCATCCGAATACATTCCAAGGGCACCATATCCTAAGAGATTATTTGAGAGTGATTTAAATACTGAATGTGCTCAATGGAGGGATACCCTTAAAGAACTTAAGGTAACCGTTCCTTTCTTGAAGATGGTTATGAAGATTCCCAAATAAACTAAGTTCTTGAAGGAAATCTTATCGGGAAATAGAAAAATGGAGGAAGTTGTTATTGTTTCTATGAGTTATTCGTTTATACATCAATTAGTTGTGAAGGCATGCCACCAAAGATGAGAGATCTGAGAGTATTCATTATTCCATGTACCTTCGGTAACAAAACCTTTTGGATTTCTTTAGACGGTTTGGGTTCGAACATTAACATTATGACTATGAGGATCTATAAAGAGAAGCTGAAGGAAGGAGAAGAAGGGAAAGGGAAAGCGTGTGGAAGAGAAATAGATTAACAAGTTTCATACAACTCTAGTTTATATGTTTGCAGATTGGTTCTCCTTTTCTATTTCTATTTCTATTTTGAAGTTTGATTACTAATTGTGAAATGTCATTAACAAAGTTTTTGTGATTGTTTCCAATCAATAGGGTTAAAGAATATGAATAATGAAAAGAAAAAATAAGTAGTAGGAAAAATCATTCACAATTTCTTATGAAATAGGGAGATTATTAAAGTGAGGGCATTGTAGTAATTTACCTCTTTATGTTATATCAAATACCACAAGTGAAATAATTCATTGCTTTAATTCATCCAAGCAATATATTTCAACTATACTTATTTTTTTCAAATAATGCACAAATACCACTTATAGGGAAAATGAGTGATTTGATTTTACAAATACCACATTGTCAGTTAACTCATCCAAACGACCCCTATGTTTTAGCTATGCAAGAATTCCATGAATTCCTTTACAAGTTGAGAGTATGTAGTTGAACCCGGCCCTCTTGTGGCGGCATGCTTAATTTATGAAATGCAAGAATGAGTAAGGTAGAAGGAGCATAGTAGCAAATGCAAGAATGAGTATGGTGAAAAATAGAAGGAAGAAGAATGAGTATAGTGAAGAATAAAAAGAAGAATTTGTTGAACTTTGGTGTAGAAGTTAGATTATAAAGAGCAAAACAAATACAGATCGCATCTTAAGTTCAACGACATCGTTTTAATTTTTACCAAGGTTGTCAACCCGCGGGTCGACCCGGACCCGACCGATATAGTGGGTCAAGGGTTAATGGGTCACTCGTTTTAGTCCGGTTTAGGCCAAAAATATGAAAAAGTCATTATATTATACTTATTTTGAATCCAACATAAAAAAAACAACTGTACTTAAACTCCAACACAATTAAATAACATCAACTTAAACTCAACATAGTAAAAATTCAATGACACTTTGGAACGAGCAACTTGCTGACCCGCTCGGACGGGCCAACCGCCCGGGTTTTCCCGGGTTTGACCATTTCCTGGCTAACTCTCAAATGGACTATTTTATCCCATTTTCAAGGCCGGGTCCGGGCCAATCCGGGTCAACCCACAGGTTGACAACCTTGATTTTTACCTTTGAATATATAGCTTTCATTTAGCTTAGCCAAATGTCATGTCCTTATTCATGAATAATGGTTTGCTACTTAATTTGCTAATTTATCATTGTTTATACTGATCAATGTATAAGCAGTGTTTTCTTATCAAAATGATAATGAATGATCGAGTGTTCTATTTCAATTGTGAAATCATCTTGACCATAATAGCTATAACCATAGAGTGAAGGATTATTCTGAACGAATAATATTAAAATTTCTAAACATAATGAACTAATAATTAGGCAGTTAAATACGTATCACTTTTATAAAATGCAATTAGCAGAAAACAAAAATTACAATGTCCCGACTAGTTACAGGATATATGATATAAAAATATCAGTAGAAATGTAACCATGTATGAATCCCTTTAAACTATGTAAGAACATAGGTTGGGGAAATTATATGGGAAGCCAAAAAATGCAAACATATAAATTATCCCCTTTATGCCAAGTTTTTTTATTTATTAAGATGGACATAAAAGAAGATTTTATTTTTATTTTTTTATGTTTTCTTTTCTCTTGTTGATAAAGTTTGCTCATGAATACCCGCCTTTTTTCATTAATGGATTCAGTAACCTAACTTTTCCTATTCACTATTTGAGATTAACAAAAATTGGGTTTGGGAAATTGAGAGAATAATATGGAGGGTATATAGGAAAAAATTACAACAAAAGGAAGCATATTTATTGATTTTTTATTTTTAATATTTGGCTTCATTTAATTATTTCTTTTTTCCCCTCCTAATAATAGCATCATTCCTTGTCTTGTTCATCATTTGTCTCTGGCTGTGGTGTTGTGCTTGCAGTAGTCATCAAACTATCAAACTTCTCGGATTTTCCCAACACAATCTCAATCTGTGATAGATCATATGAAGAAGTAATCACGAGTTATATTTGCAATAATGGACAGAGTAATGAAATATTTCAACAAGATACATGTCCTGTGTCCACGATTACTAAGTTTTTATTTTTATAAATTTGATGATGATTATATTAATGGGTTAATTGCAAGGTTGGTCACTCGGTTTACTAAAAACGTTCATGTTTGGTCACTGCAAATATTTAATTCCATTCATGGTCACTAAGATTAGTTCAAAAGTTCAAGTTTGATCACTCTCCGTTAGTTTTTGCTGATGTGGCAGTCAACTATTATAGTTGACCGTTAAATGAGTGACGTGGCCATTAAAAAATATTAAAATAATAAAATTTAAATATTTACAATTTCCACCTTATTTTACAACTATTAAAAAATAAAGATAAAACTTAATAGATGGCCTCTGCCATCTACACCACCACGATTCTGATCCAGCCAAACAACCCCTCTCATTCTGTCGGCCTTGTACCAAATCTTGATGTATTCCTTCCTCTGCTCCCAGAGCTTGGCCGACGCCGCGATGCCGAACACCACGTGCTGCAAATCCGTCGGCTGCTTCTCGGGCCTCTCCTCGATCTCCCGCCGCGGGAGAGCGATTCTCGTCGTCGCCGCCCCGTTGTCGGTGGAGTCGTTGCCGCTGAGGGCGACGAGGGAGAGGTGATGTGGCTGGGATGAGCGGTGGCGGGAGAGGAGGTCATCATTGCGGGGTTGGGAAGTGGAGACTAGCCTCAATGTGTAGAAAACGTAGGTGACGGTGACGAAGAGGAGAAGCCATACCATGAGCTTGGGGAGAATCCAAGCTGGGGAACCGGGTACGGAGATGGAATTGGCATGAGAAGGGCTCCTCAGCTGATCCCATATAACCTTCTCCGAATCCTTCTTGTTCCCTTTCATCGTCGTTCCCAAATGAATGCTCCCGCTTCGCCTCAACTTGTAGGGATTTGGGGGATATTTCTCTTCAATTCAATCCACCAAATGGGTTTTCTTACTTTCTTCAACCAGATTCGGGTTTGGGGGATGTGATTGTGGGGAACAGGGAATGCGATTGGGATTTAGCATTAATGAATCGAATTGATCATTGAGTGGAAAAAGAGGAAGATGGGGAATTAGGCATTGGAGTTACAATGTTGGGATCAATCGTTCAATCCCCCACAACTAGAAGGCAGGGGAAGGAAAATGGAGGGGGGAAATTGAACCGGGAAAATGGAGGATAGAATTTAAGAAGAGGGGAGAGGGAATGGAGGGCTTAGAGGAATTGCAGAGGGGAAGAGGGAAGGAGAAGAGAGAGCATGCAGAGCTGCCAGGTCGCAGACTCTCCCCAAAGTGAAGAATTGGGGGAAAGGAAAACTATTGTGTAGGGGCGACAACCCACAGAAAACTATTTATCGTGAGAGGAGGCCAACTATTAAGTTTTATTTTTATTTTTTAATAGTTGTAAAATAAGGTGGAAATTGTAAATATTTAAATTTTAATATTTTAATATTTTTTAATTGCCATGTCACTCATGTAACGGTCAACTATAATAGTTGACTGCCACATCAGCAAAAACTAACAGAGACTAACGGAGAGTGACCAAACTTGAACTTTTGAACTAATCTTAGTGACCATGAATGAAATTAAATATTTGCAGTGATCAAATATAAACGTTTTTAGTAAACCAAGTGACCAACTTTGCAATTAACCCTTATATTAATTGTATTGGAATCAAACCAGTGCCAATATTGTTCCCTGTGAGAGGAGAAAATGGAAAAATGCAACAAGAATATCGTCAAAGAGATATAGGAATGTACAAAATATACCTTTGCTTTTTGAACAAGACGACCTTTGTTCTCGTCTTTCATGCCTACCGTGGATGTCAAAACCTCTGCAATAGTACCATACCAATATAATTAGTCAGTTAAGTTATATATATAATTGTTGAAATAAAAAGGTTATACATGGAGAGAATGAATATCTCACTTTTCTCAGTTGCCAAGCCATTGTTCTTCAATATTTCAGCAATTGTGACCACTGTAGTAATTGCTACAAAATAACAAAAGAGCAAGTGTATTATTTTCATGTTGTTTGACACAAAATACACACTATATTCTCATAAAATGACTACATTATGTAGTGCTTTCAAAACAACATTCACTTTTATTTTTATGAATTTTTAATACATGTTTTTATTGTTATGATTAAAAGGGGGAAGAAAGAATTTCTAGGTAAGCTTATAAGTGCATGAATTTTTTTTAATGATTTAAAACGGATAAGAAAATTTAATTTTTATCTCTACCGTAATCTTACTGATAACCACCATTCATTTCTAAGTAAGCTTATAACTTGTTTCTCATTGTTAACCTTAACATGCATGCACCTTGATCAAACAATGACCAATTTATAGATTTAAATTTAAATAAGGAAAAGGTTTGGTGGCATCTAAAGAGCCACAACATCTAATCCACTCGTTTTGTATTTATTCATATAAGTTTGTGATTATTCACGCCACATTGGTATTTATTCACGTAATAGTGGTAGTTATTTATGCAAACAATAATTTTTATTCAAGCATATTCTTATTTGTTCATGATGTGATAAAATTAATTTTGAAATATATCAAAATGGATGTCATTGTATAGTTTATGATCAATGAGCAATACAAACTATGGCGTATTATGTGAAAAATTTTTGAGATTCCATTTGCGTGAATAATCATAACTCTTACATGAATAAACCACGTATTATGTGAATAATCACCAAATGACGTAAATGAACGCAACAATGAGTGAATTAGGTATTGTGGATCTTTAGGTGCCTCCAAACCTTTCCTTTAACTTATGTTATTTAGTTTTATGGAAAGCTACAAAATATGTAAAATTGGGAGATGTATGGAGTGGTGAGAAGTTGACGAAACAAATATATTTACGCACCCATGCCAAGGGCAGAAAGCTCCACCTCATTGTGTTGTTGTATGTACCTCTGTGATGTAATAATATTACAAAAAATGACAAAGAGATACGCATTAGTTCCTCTTTTTTATCAGAACAATATTTTTTTATGATTGCATGCTTGAAAGGTGTTTCCGCACGAGATTACAAGATTTGAAAATAAACTTTACTCAAGAGAGTCCAATACTTCAATAGTGTGCCATAGTTGTATTGTGGTTAAGGAACACGAGCTTTTTAGACTATATTTAGAATTCATGTAAACCATTTGACAAATATGAGAAATATTAAAGTTAATAAGACTTTGGATCTCTAGATCAAGTATCATGGTTCATATTTTTTTTATCTTCGTTTTCTTACCCGACAACACAAATTCCTCTTTCCCATAACTGCATCTCAACCACTTTAGTTACCAATTATAAACAACATAACAAAGACAAAGGAACCAACGATCTAGTACCTTGGCAAGGTTAACATAGAAGAACAAAGGCTTTTTGGTATTAGAAACTTGAATTCTATTCTTCTTTTGTTGTTGTTGCTGAACTTGTTGGGCTTTGGTCATCTCGACGTCATTGATGCCGTCATTGATGGGCTCTATTTGGGATGCAATTGGAACTAGTGTTGTTGCTGTTACTGATTCCATTGTCATCCTATTCCCCCTTTGATTGATATTCTTGAAATTAAAATTTTTAATTTTAGTTTTTCTTCTTCTTTCCCCCTTTTATTACATAACCTCTCTCCCTTTGTTGTTTTAATAAAAGCTTCTTTCTGATGATCTGTTTGCTTTTTTCTTAGAGTTTATTTTCCCTTTATTTTCTTATACTATTACAGAGACAAACAAAGAAAGTTGGGGCAAACTTTTTTGCTGTTGTGTTATTTTAAAATCAAGAACGGGTGGGTATGGGCGTTTTAACTTTAACTGATCAATGAGTGTCCTAATTGTAGAGGAAACTGTTATTTGAGAATGAGTTTCAACATAGAGATTGAGTAGGCGTGATTGGTGGAGTGATCACCCCCATAACATAACGAGTGTTTGAATGTTATTGGCTTGTTGACAGTGTAAAAATGGAGAAATACACGGTATTGAATCTCGTTGGTCAAGAATAGAAAAGTTGAAACTAGTTGTTATTTTTTTAGCAAAAAAATGAAGGACTTATTGGATCTATATGGTCATCATGGCAATATAGGAACGGGATTTGGTGCAAATATATTAAGGAGTTTGCAACTTGTAAACCAATGACAAAATTTTATTGAAAATACTAAGAATATTGATTACATGTTGGAGTTTTCAATGAAGTTAGAGGGTTGGAAGCAAATTGCACGTCCAGAGCCACTCGATTAGCTGCCCATTTCATCTGCATGAAGAGTAAGTATGATCATAGGTCATTGCTAGACAAGTGGTTTTTTGCATCTCACTAATTTGGGGGAAAGTAAAGAGGGAAAACATATAAAGTCTTTGGTGTTGAATAACAACTCCTCGTAAGAGTGTTGGTAATTGTGAAGTTGATATTGGCAATTGTGAAGTTGTTGAGGATTTTTTTTATTCTTATGAGCATTCATTTTTGGGCTATGTTTATGATGGAATGAATAGGATCAAGAGTAGCATCATGAACATTTTCATGGGTAATGGTAAAGGGGTTGAATATTATGTTAGGTTAATTGATGCAAGATGGGATAAGAAAGACTTGAGAGCATTGGGAAAAAATCAACTATCTCGTGTGCTACTACTTCACCTCTAGGTAACTAATTGTTATGACTCTATTATTTGTTTTGTTGTGTAGATCTTGTCAAATAGAAATTGATTATTAGAACTGTCTCCCATGTGGTATTCTCAATACCTCAATATTGAGTTATTTCAGAATAACTAGGGTACAAATAACCAAACACAACATTTTGCACAAAAATGAGTTATTTGGACCCAAATAACTCATTGTACGTTATTTGGGTGAAAATAACTCATAGTAATAACTCATCCAAACAACCTTAGTCGTTTCGTTTTCTTTTATTTGTAGGTGCTTAAAAAAGAATATAAGATAATCCAATCAATTATGAGAAATTGGATAATATTGAATTGTATAAGAAGATCCACATGGAGACAGATTATGAGGAGATTGAAAAAGACACTCAATGAGGAGTAGGAGGATCCTCGTGTTAAAGATTGGCATAGTATATTATAATTTAAAAGCAAATTCATTCTTGTTATAATACTGAACTTGTCATTTTTATTCATTATATATTTGGTTCCGTGGACAAGATTTTGACTATGATGTGACTGATGAAATTGATTTGAACATTACTCAAACCTTTGAAGCAAAGGAGGTGGAGATGGACGATTTTATCTCGGAGGATGATTGATTATGTACTTTGGTATTTAGGCATTAAATGTTGATGTGATTTAATGAATTTAAGTATGAACGTTTATATACGGTTATTTGTTGGATTCAACTATAAACGTTTAGTTGTTGACATTTAATTGAATATTTAGATATGAACATTTGTGAGTTTGTTTTTAATGTTGTTTTTATTTATTTGAATATGGATGTTGATTTTAGGGGTCGTTTGAAAGTTGTGATTGTTAAATAGATGTACTGTTGTAAATGCATGTATAATATTATACATGTATATTCCAATTTGATGCATTGTAAAATACAATGTTTGGTATTGTGTGATTGTGTATGTCACATCAGCTAAAAACTGAGACAAACAATTTCAGCAATCACGACTAAAAGCTTAGATATAGCAATTACTCATTTTGAGTGATAGTTTTTTTCACGTCACAAAAACAATCCATATATTTGTTCTGGTAAAAAATAAAAAACGATGCATATCAAACAATACATATATAGTAACAATCTCACCAAAACAATCGCAACTTCGAAACGACTCCCTAGAAATATTGTCTTAAGATAGGTTGTTTAGGGGTCGTTTGCATGAATCATTTATAAAATGAGTCATTTGCTCAAATATAGACATTTGAGAAATGTGGACATTTGCGAATGTAGACATTTGGAAATGCATTGTTTGTTTAACAGTTTTTAGATGAGTCATTCATAAATTGGTCATTTGTATAATGTTACCATTTTGCCCTTATATTTAGTATTTCATTATCTCGTTTCCTAACCTCATAAAACTAACCACGAAACAAAATCATTTTGTAACTGACAAAACATATGATTACGAGTCATGTATGATACTTTCTAATATTAAATAATATTTTTATGTTAAATTTCATTATAAAAGCTAACGACTCCAGGATTCTCACATTCGGGCTAATTACGACTTATTTTTAAAGGCGAAAACTCCGATGACACGAAGAGCTAGAGTCACGAGAAAATGATGTAGACAATAAGATGAATGACCCCATCACCGCTTGTAAAAAATGGCGGAAAGACAAAAATCGATGATAGATGAAAGAATGGTAGGGGAAATAAGTAATAGAATGCAAGGGTAAAGTGAGTTTATGGAAAAGTGACAATGACACAATTGGAAAGTTTTGCTAAAATAATGAGTCATTTGAAAATGACTCATAGATAGGAGGCACTTGGAAATGACTCAATAGAGTAATTTGATACTTTCGTATGAGCCAAATGACTCATGCAGTTTTTTGTCAGCAAACGAGCCATTTAGTATCAAATGACCCAATTAAGTTATTTGGTACCAAATGACTCATTCAAATGGCCCTAACAAATGACCCCTTAGATTCATAGCTTTGAATTCTGTTAAAATCAACATGAATAGATTGTATCACGATAGAACTAGTTCCACTTGCAAAACCAATGTATCGGCATAAACTGATTTGACAACTTTATTATCGACCCATATAGATTGCTGATGGGATCCGCACCCGTACTTTGATTTTTCAAAGATACTACTTCATCCGCACTAGCTGAATTAGAATCTTCACATCAAATGTGAAAATTACACTTTCATAAACTTCGGTTTTATTGTAGTGACCCAATAACTTATCTCTTAAAAGCACCAGAAATGTTGTTGAATCAAGTGGCAGAATTGAATGAAACCCCACCTCCGGCAACTTCTACTCGCTAGCTACTATTAATTACTTGTAAAATTTCATCCCACAGTAAGAACTCTACTAAAAGAATAGAAGCCACTCTTTGCACACACTATAAATAAGTTCAATTACAAGACTCCTTCCAACCAAATCTGCTAAAAGACCCTCAATTCACAGTCGATAGAGATTACCTACTTATACTATATGGGCGCTGCACACGTTGTCCTGAAATGACCCGTCTGGTTGCACCTGCTGCAATGCACCACCCACTTGACCGGCCCACGGTCTTCTGCTCGCACCCTCTTCTTCCTCGGCCTCCCTGACGGTCTAAGCGACTTGGGCGGGTTGATCACAAGCTCAACCGCAGTGCCCGAATTGAGATCAGCATCTGCCAGCTCCTTCCACACCATCTTATCCGGTATCGGGTGTATGGTCTGGGAGTACGTCTTCCTATAAGTCGCCACAGTGAAGCATCTCTTTGTGAAACGATGCACGTTCTGCCTGCATGAGAGAAACGCCGCCACAGCATGCGCACATGGCAAGCCATGGATCTTCCAGCCCCGACAAAGGCAGCACTGGTTTCGTATGTCCACTATATTCGTCCCCTCGTGAGATATAACCTCAAACTCAGCTTCATTTGCTCGCAGCACCTGATAGCTTCTCGCACGCTCGAGAGCCTCAGCAACACTCCTCTCGGCAGAAGGCGCGAGTATGGAGGTCCACTGCATGCTGTTCTCACGTCTTTCGTTGAACCACGTCATTAGCTGTCTCCTTATGCATTCCATCATCTGGACTATAGGAAGCCCCGAGGCCTCGAGAATCCAAGTGTTCAATGACTCCACAATATTCGCATCAAATGACCAAATCGGGTTCCTTCGAACTAAGTTGTGGCCCATAGCCTTGGCGGTATTCTGCGTATCCAGTATGCTGCATCTTGTGATATCTGCTCAATCTCGATGACTTTGGGTTCGAATTCAATCACGGTTAGAGCGTGAGCACCTTCCCATAAAAGGTTGACCAACATTGTGTTGTTGAACTCCTTTCTGAAGCTTTCGCTCAGGTGGCGCATGCAGAATCCATGGAAAGCAGTTGGGAAGTTGGCTTCAACTCCGTCAACAATGCCCTTTCGTCTGTCTGACAAAATTGTAAGCCTGGGCATGTTTTCAGTGTTCACCTCGAGAAGGTTATGAAGTTCAGAGAGAAACCACATCCAGTTATCATTGTTCTCCTCATCAACCACACCAAAGGCCAACGGAAAGAGAGCACCATCTCCATCAAAGCCAGTAGCAAGAAGCAACGTGCCCAGGTACTTCCTCTTCAGATATGTTCTATCGAGTCCGAGGAGAGGCCTGCAGCCATTCAAAAACCCGTAGATTGAAGCCTGGAATGATATGAAGAGACGCTGGAAGCAGTTATCAGTCAGGTTCCCATACACAGCTGCAATACTTCCAGGGTTGGTTCTTTTCACCTGGTCACAGTATTGTGGGAGCAATCGATATCCTTCTTCAAAGGAGCCGCGCATGGCAGCCATGATACGCTCTTTCCCTCTCCATGCCTGCTTGTATGATAAAGTGATCCCATGAGTGCGATGAATGTCTTCCGGAATCTCCTTGGGTTTGTAATTAGGGTTTTCCCTAAGTCGTTGCTCCACAGAGCTTGCAACCCACTCAACAGAGGCTTGTTGATAACCAAGATGAGAGATTCCACCACAGGTGTGAGATTCATGGATTGTTATGATGGTGAAGTAGGGACACCAGGGAGTTTTGCAGCGTGTATCCGCCAGGGGCATCCGTCAGTTGCACACTTAGCTGTGAATCGGCTTTTATCTGATTTGATGGTTTGGATTTCGAAATGAAGGGCAATTGCTGTGTCCCTCAGTGCCCTGCGGCAGCTGATCACATCTAGGAACTCTTGCCCCACTTTTAACTCGTAACCAGGGCCTGCAAGAACTGTGCGGGCTTGAATAACAGGTGTATGGAGAACAAGGGACTGGTCCATTGACAAATCATCACTATGTTCTTCCATCCCTATTTCCTCGTCGCCTTCTTGCACAGCAAGTTCCAAGTGGGCAACAAGTTCTTGGTCATCATCAGAAACAGGGGATTCGTTGTTGTTTTCTGACACAACCAGTTCATGACCTTGAACAGGAAGTGCTAGCTCATGCCCAACTGGCTCGGGCTTCCGGTCAATGCCTCCTAACTCATTTTCAAGCCCATACCTGTGAACAGAATCTGCTTCATCATGGTCATTGGTCTGTTCCAATCCCAATTCATGATCACGGTGATGACTTAAACCCAGTTCATCATGATCTTGAGACTGTCCCAGATCCAGGTGATGATGTTCATCTCCTTGACCCATCAGATTATGATGACTCTGGGTCAGATCCAGACCATGATTATGGCCTAAAACCAGTTGTTGATTCTCCCTAAGCCCTTCATTCTGATTCTGTCCGAGTATAACTTCATGGTCAGCCATCTGAAAAGGTTAATTCCAGTATGCTGACAACTTTGACGATTATACTCCCCGAGAAAGAACTACGGTTTTGCTGATTGGAGTAGTGAATTAATTGTCCACCAGTACTCTACCTGCAAACCAAAAGCAAAAGACACAAACTTGGTAAACCTTACATCTTCCACGAGTAGACTGAAAATCCTTAATTGATGAAGGTCCTTCACCATGCCTAATGAAAGTTGAATTCGCAAATTCATAGCATTAATTGAAGTGACTAATGAAGAAACCATCTTAGAAAATCTGTATTGCGGGGTTCAAGGATAATGGAAAAGCCATTTCTTTGCGCGACCACTGCGATTCACAAGCCTAAGAATTTTAGTTCCCACAGGGCTTACACATACCTATAGAAACAAAAAACTGATAGCTAGCTCGACTCAAAGTCGGGGCTGTCACTTTCATCTGTTGAATCGGGTGCACAAATGACCACCGATAGCAGTAAGCTTTGAAATTCCGCATAGAAGAATCGGCAACCTAATCAAACAACCAATTGAGTTCTCAACAACAACAACAAAAGAACCATTTGAAAGACGAAGGACAAAGAACACTCATCTTGGACTAACAAAAAAAAGAGAACTGGTAATGAAGTAATGAAGAAAGCAGCAAAAACGAAATTAAAGTGATGGAACGCAGAATTCCAAACAATCAACCACGGACGAAGACACAAACACATGAGCGCGTAGACATAGCAAAAAAACGAGAACCTTAGCATGAAACAGTTCATCCTCAATATCGCAGCCGGAACCCACCTCCGAAAGAGCAAACAGCTTGAGAAAGCGAACTGGGTAGGGATCAAAACTGAAGGAAACGACAAGTGCAGTAACTAGAGCGAGCGGAATCCAAAGGGGCACTAGGGTTTTGCTCCGTTATGCCACATTCTTCTTCCTCGACCTGAGTAAACGAGAAGAATTGAGAAGGAGAAGGTAACGAGAATTCAAAAAGATGAAGAGTTGGCAGGTAATGGAGGGAGAAGGAGAAGATCGGAAAAAGCAAAGAAGAATTGGGATGAAGGGCAAGAAGGAAAAGATAAAAATTGGGGCTGGGGCAAGGGGTGGGATTGGGAAATCAGAAAGAGGCCAGGCGTAGCGGCGAGGGTTGAGAAGGGAAATACAGAGATTTCGATTTCAAGTGAAAAAGGGGTATTTATGTCATTGAATTTCCTTTTTATTTCTAGATGTTGCTGCTCCCCCTTCCTTTTGTGAGACTGGTACACCTTGCGCCCGAACAGTATATTGAGGGTTAATGACATGATTATTTACGTTTGTTGTGTAAAAAATTATTATATTGTTTGTACATACATAAATTATATAAAATCTCATCCAAAATACAATGAAAATTCAAATACATTTAAATTCACATATTAAATTAATATTTAAATGTTCAACTCAAAATTCCAAATAAGGTACTCGCAAACAAGTGATTGGTCTAGTGGTACTACTAGTCTTGAATCTTAAGGTCCTATGGTCAAATTCCTTCAGTAGCACCTAACTATAAAAATCAACCTATATCAGCCTTATCGAAAAAAAGAAGACAATATACACTTGTATAGTCAAAAATTTCGTGTTTGTGCCAATAATAACCAAATTTGGAGAAATACTACTTATAGCCACTTCCGTCCAATTCTTTAACGGTGTTAGCGTTAAGTGTGACTGGACAAACGGAGATGTTAATGTGGTATAGTACTTCTGGCTAATTTTGTATGTATGATAAATTGATAATATAAAATAAATTAAAATATATAAAAATACAAAAAAAGAGGAAAAAGAACTTCTCTATCTCTCCTAATCTTCCCCACTGTCGTCCAACTTCCTTCTTCCTCCTCCTTTCTTCTCCGATTCTTCTTGCAACCATAAAACAATAAAATAGGCGGTACGGAAAGCAGAATATGAAGAAGAGGGCATCGTCGATCATGGAGGAGAGACGCAAAAATATAAGGACCAATAGACTCCACCGCAGATTCGTTTGAGCTTAGAGATTGAAAAATGGCAGCCAAGCACTCCTCTAAGAAATATGAGTCGTCCATTGCTTTGATTAGCGACGAGGTGGAGAATTTGGACTTGAGGTGGTGATGTTGAGATTTTGGCGTCTCTCGATCCATCAACAGCAGTTAAGAAGCAGAGATGAAGGTTGGAGAAGCAAGCATCGTCGGATCCAGATCTAATTTCCAAGATGAAGGACTCATCGTTGCCCCCCATCCCTTCCGCCGCGTTGTCCAGATCTAATTTCCAAGATGAAGGACTCGTCTGAGGGTTTCGATCTGGATTGGAGTGCAGACGCCATCGCCGACAGGAACGTTGTTATGCGATTTCATATTTTGATTTCGGTGGTGGGTCTGGCAGTGGCGGTGTATTTGGGGGCGTTTCCGGCGGAGAAATTGGAAGCAGCGGGCAGTGAAAGTCCCCGTTGGACTGGGTTTGAGAGGTGAATAGATGGAGGGATGGATTTTTGTCGGCATCGGCGAAGGATCCAAAATTCCGGGCAAGTAGCAGTACCGGTTATGACTGCTTTTTTGTAGCCGCCGATTCGAGTTCCGACGATGGTGGTTGATTCAGATGATAAGGGTTTCGGAAAAGAATCTAGAGGATTTGAATCGAGTTTCATCGAAAGAAGATGATGAATTGATGATACCCGAGTTTCAAAATCAGCGAGAATTGGGGAACTCGGAGATATGTTATTGGAGAAGAGAGGGTGTCCAGAGATGAAGAAATTGGGGAAAATTAAAATAATTTTTTTATTAATTTATGACATGTAATTATCAAATAAATTTTAATTGTGACGTGTCACTTTTGGCTGATGTGTGCGATGTGTGCGCTGAGTTGGCGCCTAGTCAGCAAATCATCAAAGAAGTTGACGGTGTTAATGACACCGTTAAAGTATTTAACGGAAATGGTTATATTTGTCCAACACCCTTTACAAAGTCTGGCTATAAGTAGTATTTCTCTAAATTTGGCTATTATTGACACAAACACGAAAGTTTTGGCTATAAAAGTGTATATTGCCAAAAAAGAAAAATAAAGTACTCAATTTTCAAAGATAAAGGAAGTCATCTCCATCTTCATCTCCATTGCATCAACAAAATGAGAAATGTCGAAATCAATTTCATTGGTCACATCATACTTAAAGTCCTCCACATTAAAACATGAAATAAAATACCCATAAATATTACTAATGACAAGATAATTATTATAGGAATGTATAGACTTTTCTATAAATGCTATAATATACAAACCTAGGACGATTTCTAGAGGATATAATGAGGATGATTCATCTTCCTCTTCATAAAGAGTCTTTTCAATCTCATCATGTACATCTGTGCAGGTGAATTTTCTTCTACAATCCAAAAGTCGATGTATCATAATTAATTGGATCTTTCACTCACTCCTTCAAGCACCTACAAGTCAAAAAAGATAAACGATTAAGTATATGAAATATTAAAATTGTATAAGGTTGAATAAAATTTAAACATTACCTATTCTTCAACCTCATATTGTAAGTCACACATAAATAAGATCATTCAATCTTTGATGCTCCAATCGATTCCTCCGCTTTTTATGGATCTGGTTATGCACATTCTATTTTCGCTCATATCCAAAAGAAGAAGATATTTGGAGCAAAAGTCGCACAACAACTTGCATCAAATTTGAGCATCCTCTCCAAATAGTATTCACAATTAAGTTATTCATTTAAGCTAATTTTGTAAACAAGTACATATAATTTGAAAATAGTACAGTTTAATAAGTAACAAGTAATTAGAATTGGTTACCTGGAAGTAAAATGGAAGCACATGACATAGTTATTTTCTTTCCAAAGCTCCCAAACCTCTTTCTATAAAGTCTAATTTCATGAATGACTTCATGAACATTCTCACATAAGCATTCAACCTCAAGGTCATCAAGAAGACAAGTTTGTACACCACGCTCAGCTCGACCTTCTTCACAATATTGAAAACCGGGGTTCGGAAAATATGCGGGAGATAAATATTGTGTCGAATATGTTTATCTCATACTGCATCAATTAACTCCATATAAGTAACTGCGCATCTACCATTGCCAAATAAGAGGTGTTCATAGCCTTCTTTATCCTCGTCATTCTATCATGAACATGCCCCAAAGATGGTTGCTAAGCAGAATTAACAACCTTCAACAACTTCAAATTTGACAATGTCAACTTCACCTCAATAAACACTCTAGTCATAAATCGTTGTCTAACACAACAGATATTATCTGTTTCCCCTCTTTAAAATCTCCTAACTTGTGAGATGCAAAGAAGCTACTTGTGACAAGTTGTTCCAATGAGGACCTATGATCATAAACACTTTTCAAGCATATGAAGCATGTAGCAAATCAAGTAGCTTCTGGACGCACAATCTGCTTCCAACCCTTTAACTTCTTCAAAAAATCTAAGAGCGGAAGATGACTATAGGCAAACACACTGATCTTGTGAGCTCGAGAAACTAAGCTTGACACATGTCCCATCTTGTAAATATATTTCAGAAAAATATTAAGAACATGTGTAACACATGGAGTCCATAAAATATTCTTCACTTCTCATGAATTTTTCTCCTCGCGATAACATAATTAGCAGCATTATCTATGAAAAAAATGCACAATACTCTTTGACTCAATCATGCCAATCACACCACCAAACAATTTGGACAAAGTACTTGCATCCTTAACCAAGTCCGATGCATCCACAGATTTCAGAAAACATACACCTTTGGACACTAGACTAGAAAATAAATCAATGATCTGCGACACATATCAGTCCAACCATCAACCATCAAAGTGCATCTACTAACTTCATAAATCTTGCAATAATCATGTATGGTAGATGTGCATTCTTGTATCACATATCTCGACAAAGACACTCTCTGTTGGTGATGAGAAGGTACCTTATATTCAGGGCCAATAGCACCATGGAATTCACATCACTAAACAATGATCGACTTAGTTGACCATAAAGGAGAT